GGAAACACAGCTTGTAATATTTGGTTTTAATTCGGCTTTTATCGGGGTTTATTTTCTGTATTTTTGTATTTTTGTATTTTGTAATTTTTTTGTATTTTGTGTATATTATTTGTTTTTAATATGCTGTGAACCGCCCTGAGTCCTATGGGAGAAGGGCGGTATACAAATTAAAATAATAAATAAATAAATAAATAAATATAAGGAACGGTTGCTGGAATTAGGTATGTCTAGTTTAATTGGAAAGGACGAGGGGGGATATGATAGCTGTGTGTTCCAATATCTCAGGGGTTGCCACAAAGAAGAGGGAGTCAAGCTGTTCTCCAAAGCACTTGAAGCAATGGATGGAAACTAATCAAGGAGAGAAGCAACCTAGAACACTAAGGAGAAACTAATCAAGGAGAGAAGCAACCTAGAACTAAGGAGAAATTTCCTGACAGTTAGAACAATTAAATCAGTGGAACGACTTGCCTCCAGAAGTTGTGGATGCTCCATTTGTCTGAAATGGCATAGGGCTTCCTGCTTGAGCAGGGATTGGACTAGAAGATCTCCAAGGTCCCTTCCAACTCTGTTATTCTGTTATTGGGGTATGTGCAAAAGATCCATTTAACTTGAGGTATCTGAGGAGCTGTCTCTTCCCAATGGGACTAGCTCAGGGGTGGGGAACCTTGGCTCTTTTATGACTCGTGGACTTCAATTCCCAGAATTCCTGAGCCAGCCATGCTGAGGAGAAAGGGAGAGGTTTCCAAGCTGAGCCATGCTGGCTCAGGAATTCTGGGAGTTGAAGTCCGCGAGTCATAAAAGAGCCAAGGTTGCCTACCCCTGGACTAGCCCATCCCACGGAAGAGGTCTGCTATGGATCCCGTTTGCTAAGGAATTCCAGTGGGTGGGGCCAAGGAGAAGAGTCTTTTTTGCTGTGGCTCCATCCCTGTGGAACACTCTACCACTGAAGGTGAGAACTTGGCCTTGGGGAAGGATATTAAAACTTGGTTGGCTTGAGGCCTTGGGGATGGGCATATACTGCTGGAGGTAGTTGACAGGGTAAGAAGACCTGATCCCCGTGCCATCCCTCTCTTTGTCTTCGTGTTGTATATAGTTTAAAAATGTTTTAATATTTGGGAATTTTTTTGTCATCCTCCAATGCGAAATTGTATCAGAATAATTATGAAAGATTGTGGAAATTGGTACAAAAGGACTTACTAATGTGGGAAAAACTACAGCTTTCTTTGCTGGGTCGTATAGCGGCCGTTAAAATGAACATTCTGCCTAAGTTTCTTTTTTTATTTCAGATGATACCTATATTAAAAAACGAACTTAACTTGAAAGAATGGCAAAGAGATTTGAATCGTTTTATATGGGAAGGCAAGAAGGCGAGAGTTAAATTTAAGATTATTCAAGATACTAGAGAACGTGGAGGACTTAAAGTACCAAATCTGACACTCTATTATGACTCTTGTGCATTAACGTGGATGACTGACTGGATTAATTTGTCCAACAAAGGGATTTTGAATGTCGAAGGATGGGACTTGTACTTTGGGTGGCATGCTTATCTTT